GAGCAATGAAATTCTCATTTTGAAGAATTTTACAAAAATTGCCAAGATTTTTGTAAGTAAAAACTTTCAAAAAAATTGCAATTGAGCATGAATTGAGGCATGTGAGTAGTTGAACTTAGCATAAAAAAATGTTTAGAACACAATAGTGAAGTTAGATTTACCAAAAGATTCTTTCTTAACTACTTACAAGAACCATCAGTATTGGTAACGAAATTGACACTTGAATGAATGAAGGCCATAGATCTACATTAGAAATCTTAGAGATCAAGGGTGGAGATGTGGCCACCCTTCCACAATCCACCACTCAATTGTATAAGAATGGTTTGGTTTCTCAAGTCCTCTCTCTCTCCTCTTTTGGTGAAGGGCAAAACTATGCCAAATTTTGGTCTTAAACCCTAATCTTTATTTTATTTATTTTTATTTTTAATCTCATTGTAAACTTTTGGTTGTGAATGCATGGATTTGGAGTAATGAATGATGGTCATTGGGTTTTAAGACATAGACCATTGTGGTAGACAGCTCCCTCAGCCTCTTAATTATGCCAAGGATTCAAGAGCCTCGGATCCCCCTCAATCAGTCATTAAATTTTTTGATTTTTGATGTTAGTTCTTTCTGAGGTTGTAGCTTTTTATGTTAGCTTTCCAACAAGGTAAGAATCGCTTGATTTGGAGTAAGGACGAAATTTTGGTGGAATTTTGAGTGCACAGGGATTGGCTACCTTGGCAGTTTATGTCAACCTTTTATGAAAAGACATTTCTCAGTGCCTTCTAATTGGATTACTGTGAAATTTTGATAGTGAGTGCATCTTTAAGCTGAACTTCTAATGGCATAAATTTCACTAAATTGAAAGGTGAATTGAATTTTTAGTTAATTTTCAAGTAGAAGGAGGTTGCCTACCATGGTAGTCTTAGTTACTCAACTTTGAAGGATATTTTCTCATGGCTTAGGTATTGGATTGAATTTAAATTTACTAAATTAGAAGCACCTTCAAGTTAAATTTGCAAAAAATTAAAAATCATTAAATTTGGAGTTAATCACGAATTTTGGCAAATTTTGGAGTAGAAAGGGGTTTACTACCCTCAATTCTTGGGCCTTATCAAGGTACCTTCGCTTTTATCTCTCTTTAGTTCTACTCTTACTTTCATTTTTATAGTAATCCATAGCTTTCATATGAAATTTCATGTGAAATTTGGACTCACACATGCCAATTCAAAATTAAGAATATAATGAGACTTAGAGACTTCATGTACCTCCATCTCTTCCATATATTCTTGAAGAAACTTGGTGATGTTCTTCCCATCAAACCTCACATGGTTGTTGACGACCCTTAATAATGTTTTATTCACCTCTTTTTTATTGGCTTGTATCTTTTTTTGTCTCTTCATGAACATACTCAAAACCAAGAGAAAATCATTGGCACTTATTTCCTCAGTGCAACTTGCATCGGCCCCTCCAAAATCACCCATCATCTTTAAATATCAAAAATCTCTCACATTCTCTTTTTAACCTTTGAACTTCTTTTCATGCTCCAAGCTTGCTTCGTAATTTTATAACTCCATTGTGCTCTATTTATACTCTCAATTACCTTAAGAATGCTTTCAATAAAAGTATCAAATGCTCTCAATAGTATCAAGACGACAAGCCTCCTTGGAAGAATATAAGAACTTTGGTTGTAAGTAAGTTGTAAAAAGCACAAGGTTTTTTCAAATGAACTCAAATACAAAAAGGTAGTCCAAAGGCTAAGTATAAATTTTTAGATTAATTCTTTTCTTGTGCTAAAATGCACCCAACTCTTAATTCTAATTTCAAATTCAAACCTCTTCTTTTTAAAATATTTATAAACCACTTATTATTAACTCAATCTAGGTAAAATTTAGTTCATTATATCACAATTCTTTTTCTTGTATAAAATGGCTTCTTAAAAAACTCACAATGAGATCTAACTTTCTTCAAAATATAAAAAATATCAAAATATAAAAATAAATAAATAAAAATAGTAAATGCAATGGAATGACCATAACCAATCTTGAATCTTACTGCTCAAAAACTCTTGTGACCTTCCATTTACAAATTTGCATGCATCTCTCTTGTTAAAAATCTTCTTTTTGTATACTAAAACTTATTATAAGGCTAAAAACAAGATTTATCTTCTTTCAAAATTTCAAGATAAAAAAACATATCTATATATATATATATATAAAATAAATGGCATAAAAAAAATCCAAATTAGTCTTGAATCTCATCACCCCGAAATTCCAACGTCCCTCTACCTACAAATTTGCATGGATCTTTCTCTTCATAGCTCTTCTTCTTATGTGCTAAGGCTTCTTGGAAAGCTAAGAAGAAGATCTAAGATTTTTTGAAATTTGAAGAGAATGAAAAAAGAAAATCTAATAAATGGCATAAAAAATACCAAACCGGTCTTGAAATATGCCACTAAAAAATTCCAACAATCTTCCACCCATAAATTTGCATGGATCTCCTTTTTTCACAACCCCTCTTCTTACGTGCTAAAGCTTATTGGAAAGCTAATGATATAATCTAACTTCCTTCAAAATCTTAGTAAAAAAAGATGAAAATACAATAAATGGCATAGAAAATTTCAAACTAGCCTTGAGTCTTGAATCTTACTCCTCAAGAACTCTAACAATCCTCCACCTACACACTCTTATTTAAGAAAAATCCACTTATTGCTAAAAAATCTCTTTCCTAACCTTCCTCTAGTACCAACCTTGAACTCCTATAGAATTGGATATGTATCCTAAAAGATAATACCTTTAAAGCTTAAACAATTCATTCAAGGCAATAATCTCTTATCTTAAATCCTATTCAAATTTATAAATATATTAGTATTATATTCCTTCTTTTGTACAAGTAAAATTAATTGCCCTTCAAATAACTTTGATGTACTTAAATTAAATGCATCACAACAATATTGAATCTACAATCCATGTTGAATTTGGAATAATATCTTTTTTTTCTTTCAAGCATGTCTTTTATTTATATCACTAATGCAAATGGTTGCTTTTCTACTGTTGGATTCTTTGAATCATAAGTTAGATAGAAAATTATTTTTTTTATTTTTTATCCATTTAAGGACTATTTTTCTTACTACTTTATAGTTATTTTTATTGATTTTTTTTATTTGAAGATAATATGATAGGTTTTATGCTTCTTTTTGATCTAAAACAAACAAAATATTTGTTGATTATACAATGGAGTTTTTTTGTCTTAAAATGTCTTCACATCTCTTAGAATATTTTAAGACAGATTTGATATTATTAAGATTATCTAACATCTTAGTACAATTATTAATTGTACTTTGATGAACAAGTAAAAAATAATAATCCTTCTTTAATTTGGAATCATGGTCATTATGACTTGAATTGGTATAAACTTCAAAAACTTGTCATTTATCATTTGGATGTATAATTTTTACAAAAAACTTACATCATACATGTTTTTTTAATAATTATTATCTAAGTTTATCAATACCCCATCACAAAACTTTTATTCTTGATGGTTCACAAAGACTACTACTTTTGAAGCATAAGGTATTTTTCTTTGATATTAATGGATTAACTGTAATATCAACACATTTTTTGTCTTTAAATTATTTATAAATTCTTATATTTGGACATAAGAAATTGCATGATGTTGTATGTATTATCAAAGTTATTGACTTTTTAAACAAATCACTCTTTCAAATCTAAATTTTTTAAATTGACACTCAGTATAAGCCTTAATGACTTTGCTATATAAGTCATTGAAATTCTATACTTGTTCTCTTCTACTATATATTTCAAGTTATATAATCTTAAAAGAGTTTCTGCATCTACAAGATGAGACCCTCTTTCACAATATCTATTCTAAACTACTGATGTTAATTCATCAATGCATGGAATAATGAAGCCCAAATATTTTTATATTAAATAATTCATCTTCATTATTAGGCAACTTAAATATTCCAAAATAATTTCTAAGAATTCTGTAGTTTTTTATAATGATTAAATGAAACACTTTAATCAAAGTTTCTTCTTAATGAATAAAATTACCATCTCATCTAATAATAGTCTTAAGTATGGTGGTTGTCACATCTTCCTTCAACCATTGAATTAACCATTCCTTCAATTCACATTTAAAATAATGATATCTATTAGGGATAAATGCTAGAGGATCCAATTTTGAATCTTGAACCACCTCGATCTCATATTCATCATCTTCTCCTTTACTATCTAAAAGCCGTAGGAAGTTGAAGTCAATTTCATCATTTGAAGAGATATCCTCGAGGTTAAGGACCTCAAAAACTTTGTTAATGGTTTCCATCATGCTCTTGTCTTTAAAGTTCTAGAATATAATATCTACTTCACCTACATAAACTAGAGATAATATGATTAGTATTGCATAAAGTTGTTATTTTAAAATAGTATTTAACTTATTAATAATGTCCATGACTAAATTTTTACATTAGTCATTGCTAATATTTTAAATTGAAAAATTGGTGGTGAGCCCCACCACAAAGTTGCTCAAATAATAACCATTTTCTATTCATTTTCCATCTATTTTTCACCACCAATTTCACCTTAGCAGTAAAAAATGGTCACCATATATATATTTTTTATAATTTTTTCCACTCATTTATCACCACCAATTTCCTCTTACTGTTGATAAATGGTCACCATTCATGCCCGTTTTTTATTACTTCCATCCTTTTCACACAAAACCTTGTCTTGGTGGTGACAATCACTACCCATTTTTTCTTGGTAAATTTTTTCCCTTGTTGTCCCGTCATGCAGCACGGCGGGCGCGAGGGGAGGTAGTTGGGACTCGATGCCACCCTCCACAACAAGGCCGCGTCCTCGGCCAGTTCTCTCGCGTTCCCCATGAGTTCTTTATAGACCCTGTAACGGCCAGGATTCAATCTGGAAATGTGACGGCCCATATGTATCGAGCCAGTCGATTGAACAAGGAGGTTTCTGCTACACGTAGTGACCTGCTACACGTAGTAACGAGGGTGTCCCACCTTGCGTGGCTGCTCTTTCTCTGTCGCATCGCTTCTCGCTGCTCCGAGCCGAGCCCTGGCTATTGTGTTGTGCTCTGATGCTGCTGCTGCTGCTGCTGCGCAGTGAGGTCGCCGAAGCGTGCACGAACATCTACACCTATTCTCTCCTCTCTCAACTAACTATTCTCTGTATCACGTCTCGACCAAGGATTCCCGGTTTCGAGCCGTGCCGCATTGCCAACGGCACCACCCTATGTCGTGTCCCGTGCAGGGCATGTGCACCTTTACGAAAGGCACGGTGCGTAGGTGTTCCGCAACAAGGGAGGAGGAGCAGCAGGAGCAGCAGCAGCAGCAGCGCACGGTTGGAGCACCTGTGGAATTAGTGAGGCTTTTCTAGACGCCATACCGGCGGGAGTAGAAGGCCGTCGGTTGTGGAATGGATGCCCTAGCGTGAGAGCAGGAGCGGATCGTTTATCCTGAGAAAACCTCAGTGTGACCTCGTCGGACGCCCGTTGCGCCTTGCTCAGAGTTCCTGGATGCGGCCAGCTGATTCACGGGGAAAGTCCGTGATTGTGACTGCTATTTCTTTTTGTGCGTTTGGCGTCTTCTGTCCGTCCTTCGATTCGGTGTAATGTGCTTGGAGTACGTGTGATTTGTGTGGATTTTTGTTTTGATTTTCTTTTCTGTGTGGAGGTGAAGCTGTTTCTGAGTCTGCAGTTTCTTGTTTTTCTTGGGAATGTTAAACTGTCAATTTTTACTATTGTAGTTTCTCGTGCTCGAAGCGTAGATTCTAAACCGTTCTACAGAAGTCCGACCACTAATCTTGCAGCTCTCCTTAAGTGCGTCAGTGAGGGTTAGATTTTTTCCGACAAAAATGCCTCCGATGCACTTTCTCGGCCATCGTATGGCTTCATAAACCTTGTTGGTGTCTGGAAGCGCCTTATTTCTCCTTACCTTATACGTCCCACGACTGCTACTGTGCTTGTATCTTCTGTTCACTCAGCTAGCAGCGCCTCCCACCCACAGGTCCTTTGAAAATAGGTGTTTTATAGTAATGTGATGTATGTGGTTCATTATCTCAGATTAAGTCGTGACGATGTTATGCACCGTCTCTTATTACAGGTGAAGGTGGTTGTGGCTACGTAGTTTTCGTAGATTTGAATCACCCTACTTGAAGTCATCCTTTGTTCAAACGATGTAACCAAAGCTACTTGAGAATTTCAAGTTGAGAGAGAGACTGTTGAAGCCTCCGCTAATATGATTCGGAATGGCCAGATGCCTAGACGTGGATGCGTTTTGTCGAAGCTGCTAATTCGTATTGAATCTTTGAAGTTCATTGTGGCATATGAATTGTATATGTGGACGGCTGATAGATTTTGAATGAATGCAGAATATGGCCGATGCTGAGTTTTTTACCGAGTACGGGGAAGCCAATCGCTACCGTATACTGGAGGTTATTGGAAAAGGAAGTTACGGTGTTGTCTGCTCTGCTGTCGACACGCTAACGGGTGAAAAGGTGGCTATCAAGAAAATTAATGATATATTCGAGCATGTGTCTGATGCAACCCGCATTCTGCGTGAGATTAAGCTCCTTAGGCTGTTGCGACATCCTGACATTGTGGAAGTAAAGCACATTATGCTTCCTCCTTCACGACGTGACTTCAAGGACATTTATGTAGTATTTGAGTTGATGGAGTCAGACCTTCACCAAGTGATCAAAGCCAATGATGATTTGACCCCTGAGCATTATCAATTCTTTTTGTACCAGCTACTGAGGGCCCTCAAGTATATCCATACAGGTAGGTGCCAAAGTTTGGAGTGGAATTACTTCCATTCGGTTATGTACTAACTTTGTGCAGTATTTCTATTCCCGGGTTTTCGTTGGGTTTCGTTGGCTATTGTTTCTAGCCAATCGAGGATGCAACAGGTGTATGTCTGTTAATACAACCCTCGAATTTATTGTGAGCCGATTCCCTCTGCATCATCAATGACATGTATCTCACTTTAGGTTTTAGTTCACACATCGTGTACCTTGTACGTGGTTTCAATGCCTGCAGTTGGAGTCTCAAGTACTTGAAATTCGCCTTGCCCAGATTATTAGTTTTGGCGGGAGTCATCATTTTATTAGTTACTGGCCCTTCAGTTCCACGGCTACGTCTTGAAAACGTGGCGAGTCATTGTTCGTGAACGTTCACAACTCTCACTGTACAAAAGACTGATGGGATGTGGTCCTTTTTGGATTTCTGTCTGTTTTTGTGGATGTTGACGTCTTCATGTTTGGGATTGTTCAGCTAATGTGTTTCATCGCGACCTGAAGCCAAAGAACGTGTTGGCAAACGCTGACTGTAAACTGAAAATTTGTGACTTTGGACTTGCTCGAGTGGCCTTTAGTGATGCTCCAACAGCTATCTTCTGGACGGTATGGTCTTCCGCCATTGCTGGAAATTAAAAATATTATAGGTTCTCGGAAACCATTGTTATTAAGTCCTTCTAGGCACGGTCAAACTTTACTGCCAGGAAAAGTTCTGAAGCTGTGTAACCTGCATGAATTCTGTTGTTGGGTACTTCAGGATTATGTGGCTACAAGGTGGTATCGAGCTCCAGAGCTTTGTGGTTCATTCTTTTCGAAGGTGAGCAGCACTAGTACCCTTCGTTCTATTGAACTTTATGTACTGTGACGCAAATTGTTATTAAGAACACGTTTTTTGTGTGGTGTGACTAAATAAGATTATGTTACTTGTGCTGCAGTATACTCCTGCGATCGATATCTGGAGTATAGGCTGTATATTTGCGGAAGTGTTGACTGGAAAGCCGCTTTTTCCTGGAAAGAATGTCGTTCATCAACTGGATTTGATGACTGACATGCTTGGAAGTCCATCTCCAGAAACAGTCCAGAGGGTGAGATCATAGTCCTGTCAAATTTTAGTTTGGGAAGGTCTGAAGTAAGGAAAAGTTGCATACTGTGAATTTTCAGCTGAATTGAGTGTAACAACCTCGGGAAGACAGTTTTGGAATGTCTTTGTGTAATTAATGGATGGATCAATGGAAATGTTCTAGTAGGTTGACAAAAGAGTGTCTTGCATGTAAACGGTTACGATACAGCTTGCATAATAGAAATCGTTTTAAATGAAATTGAATTTTATACAGGTGCGAAACGAGAAAGCTCGGAGGTACCTGAGCACAATGCGAAAAAAACCCCCCATGCCTTTCGTGCAGAAGTTTCCTAATGCTGATCCCTTGGCGATTCGGTTACTTGAAAGAATGCTTGCGTTTGATCCCAGAGACAGGCCTACTGCAGAGGAGGTAATCCGCGGTAACTAATGTAATTTACTTCAGGTGCTTTATTTTGTAGTGGTTCACGTAGATCTTTTGCTCTGGACGGAACAAGTCCTCTCTTGCATTTGAACAATGTTTTAATGTATCAAAACTATGTCGTTGGGTGTAGGCATTAGCAGATCCTTATTTCAAGGGTTTGGCGAAAGTGGATAGGGAACCTTCTGCTCAACCAATTACGAAAATGGAATTCGAGTTTGAGAGGAGAAGAATAAACAAGGAAGACGTGAGAGAGCTTATTTATCGTGAGGTTTGTAGCTTCCGTGAATCTTGTTGCTTATGTTGTGTTTAGTGGTGTCGTCATTGATTGTCAGCGTCTAATTCAGTTGTGAGGATGGACACTTTTAACTTGAAGTTTTGTGCTATAACAGATTTTGGAGTATCACCCTCAAATGCTGAAGGAATATCTCAATGGTTCAGACAACGCGACTTTCTTGTACCCAAGGTTTTTTCAATCCAGTCTTATCGTTTAAATGGCATCATTTGATTTTAATGACATATTGCTCCACTTTGAAAGTTCTTTGTTCTAACAAAGTGCCCTAACCAAAAAAGAATTGAAATGCTTGGCTGTTGAATAGTGCGGTGGATCAATTTAAGAGACAATTTGCTCACCTTGAGGAACATTATGGCAAGGGTGGTAACAATCCTCCCCTTGAGAGGCAACATGCCTCACTCCCAAGGTACATAATCGGATTTACGTTTTTATTTGTTCGGGTGATATATTTCCCTCAACGGAACATAAGTCTATTATCAACTCAACAATTTGAATGTTAAAGCTTCTGTTTTTGAATATTTTTTCAGGGAGCGAGTTTTAGAGTTCCGTGAAGAAGCATCAAAATATCAAAGAGAGGATAGTAAGTTGCATGACAAGCATGCAAGTTCTGGTCAGAGGAACGTTTATTCTCAAAATTCCTCCAAATCTCAAGATGGTATCCATTTCTTTACTTCACACATATTTTTTAAACGCCCTACATACACCTAGCTGTAGCTATAGAGTGCTTGTGTGTATTAGTAAAGTATTGCCTATATTATGTTTGCGTTCGTTCTTTTGGTCGTCTATTCTCTGGGCACGTCTTGTTTGTGTCGAATTTGATATTTGAAAGATTCGACCTTTGTTGTAATGGTAAGGTCTGAACAACATGGCTTGGCTATTATCTGCTTCCAGTTGCAGTCGGACAATATAGTGAAGAGAATTGTCTGGATGTATTACTTTGATGTATGGGTTAACAATATTGCGGTTGATAAAGAGAATGCAGCTGGACTCACCTTTCGTGACGATATGTTTCCTCACCGCAGGTTCTGTTGGAAGAGCAGGAAATCCAGCTGCTTACGTTGGTGCTAAGGAGTACACAGATCCTCGCCGAGTGTCTAAAACTGCCTCAATGAGCACCACTAATTCGTATTCTGGTTCTATTAACCCTTACGGCAGACGACACTCTAGCAACAAAACTGATAGGGATGATCGTGAACTCAATGCCGTGCAGTCAAAGACGGAGTCTATGGGGCTTGGAGGCTCGCGGAAAGTCCCGGCAGCCCAAAGTGTTGGCCAGTAATTTACGACATGGATCCTTTAGTCTCAACCATTATTGTTCTTGTCTTGAATTGCACAGATGGAGTGTCCTGGTGGGGGTGACCTGGAGCTCCGTTGATGTAGTGGCAACGCTTTTGCTTGTAGGAGGGGGGTTAATCAGAAGCATTATTTACAGAATGTAGGTTAAGTTGCAGTATATGAGTTTTATCAGCATTCGTGTTGATCTTCTAATTATTTTTTATATTTTTATATTTTTTCCCCATATTTTCCAGCTGTGAATGGGTCCTTTTCTTCGGTGTAGTGGCTGCGGATTTAAACCTGAGGTTCACTTCGCCACTTGCACAGAAGCACTGTGTCATTCCTGTCATGGGTACATACAAGTCATGTTGATTTTAACACATAGCTAAAAATAGGATCCCGATATTGGATAAAAAAGTAGTCTACTGGTAACCTCGATGAGTGCAGGTGAGGTACTTGATCTCCACTTCCTGATTTCTTGCCAGTTTGCTAGAGTCTGGACTTTCCTTCGGACTGTGTTTGTGCTTTTCCACATGTCGAAACTTTTGCGGACTTGGTAAAGCGCACTAACTCCGCTTGATGAATTAATATTCAACACTTTTTCTGCTCAACATTGGGCCGACAAGTTTGTAGTCCTGCTGTACATTTTCCAGTTTAAGGAAACGCTATTTGATCGTAGTCCTGGTATGGTAACGGCATGAAATGTTGCATGGCTACTTCGTCCTGCGACAATTTTTCCCATTCCTATCATCTTGACTTCCTGACTTGTCTCTGGGAACTCTTTTGTTTCTAAAACTTTTGTTAGTGATCGTGTGAAATGCCTTAGAGCTTTAAGTGGACAGTAGTGGTGAATGTTTACGTTTACGACAGCCTACACTTTTTTGGAAATCAGAGACAAATGAATGACATTTGGAGTTGGAAGAGACTCATACTGGTTTTGGCTGCATTCACTGTAGCCCTCGTTAGTATCTTTTCGTGGGGTGATGAAATCTATTGATAAAATAGTAGAAGGCTAATTAGTTGTCTGATTGCGAAACTAAAATACTGCCCTTCTTGATAATTGCTGAACATAACACGCACCCTATCGATGTATGATTTAGATTTGTGAATGACTTGAGATAGTGAGTGAGGTTTTTGTGTTTTGGGATTCTCCAACAATGTTCAACGCCACTTGTGTACTGAAAAGGGTTGGAATGTCAAATTTTACAAACAGAGCTTGAACGATGTAAATTACAACCCAGATAGATGAAAGGCATCAACATCAAGTCATACACAGTTTACTGCAGAATATGTCAGACATATCAACATTCTCATCTGTTTTTCAAAAAATGATCCATCCCCACCCCTGCACAACTCTTTGCATACAAGGATTTTCAACACGAATAGTTTTATCAGTGAACATTGTCAAACATAATATAAACTTAAAAAAAAGAAAAAGAAAAAAATATAAAATCCACGAAAGTAGAAATTCCTAGAACTCGCAACAAGAAGTGCGGAAGAATGTAATATAAAAAAAGAAAAAAAAAAGGGGGAGGAAGAGCAGGAACGAAAACAGGAAACCAAGACGATGGTCAACGAATTGAACAAGTCAGAAAAGTCCTACAAGTCAACAGGGAGAGAGGGGTATTAACAAAGAAAAAGGGACATGACGAAGAGAACACAGGTTTAATAAAAGCACATGAGATCGTCGGAGAGAGGGTGGGGGCATGGCAACCCATAACGGGCAACTTAGTGATGGCGTAGTGACAGTGATCTACTCACACACTCACACACAATTCCATTCATAGCCAAGCGCAAGGTGGGTGGGAGTGGAGACCGCCACTGGGCACCCTGTCACCATGGCACGCGGGCACAGGAGACCTTACTAACCACACGCCCATCGGCCCCCATTTTTGGGCTGGCGAGCGACGTGGCTTAAGCTCACTCTCTCTCTTATTCGGTCTAGAGAGAGTGTCACTACTCACTACTTACTACTCACTACTTACTACTCACTAGAGAGCGAGAGAGAGACAGACAGAGAGGGCGGTCTCGGTGACCTGCTTTGCTTTGTATTGGAATTTGTAGAACATCGCAACGAAAGAGTGTTTTTCGAGCGACGAGAGTGCGCGTGCGCGCGTGCGTGTGTGTGTGTGTGTGTGTGCGTGCAATTTGGCTTTTGGCGTGTAGTTCCGATTTTAGCACATTGATCTGGTCCATGACCTGCTGGTGTCGTTGCTGTGCCACATATCCGCCGTTCTCTTCTCTCTTTTTCTTTTTCTTTCCACGAAACCGGCGCCATTTTACGAACGCCTGCTGCCCTGCTGTTGCGGCCTCCGCTTTTTTCCACAGGTTTCTGCCACCTCTTACACTGCAGAATTTTGTATGTCTTTCTCTGAGTGGAGGGAGTATAGGAGCGGGGAGTTTCGTGACTGTGTGGGGATGGGATGCCTTTTGTCTTAGTTGGCATGGATGAGGCAGGTTTGAGTGGGAACCGGTTGCTGTAGCGAGGGAGCTACGGACCGAGTGAGGTGAGTGTTCCTCGCGTTGCCTTTTTTTTGCAGTGTTTGCCATATTTGGACTAGCAGTTGGATGTTTGATAGAGAACTTTGTTGGCGTTTAATTGGCGTTAATTGTTCCCTTCGTGTAGAGTTTTGTGGTCGTTGTTTGAGCTCGATACGAGGTCGGTGGCTGGGTCCTTGTTTGCGAAGTTTGTGAGATTGGTCGGAGAGAGCGAGAGTTTGGATTTGTGGCTTCTTGCCCGAGTTGTTTCGTTTGTTTTGAGAATCAGCACCTTGTAATAGGACGCAGGGAGGTTACTGCGAGACGGGAGGTTAAAGAGGTCGGATTTTCAAAGGTACAGAGGTTTTAAGGGTTTGAAGAAAAGAGTACTAATGAACGACTTTGATGAGCCCCAAGGTGACTCGAGGGTGCAGTGTGAAGCAGAATCTGAGGCAGATCATTCTTCTGATTGTTACTCATCAGGATCCGGTGAAGAGACCGATGCTGAAGTGCCGGACGTGGCAGATCCTTCGGCTTGTAATTCCAACCTACTGCAAGGTGCAACAATTTTTCCTTCTCCTTTCCTTACTAGGTCTGTACTTTGATATGGTCGGTAGTTCAAAGCGTGTTTAAGATTGTCAGTTGTGAGAGAACACTGGAACTGAGTGTGCGCTTAGTTGTATCGTGTAAGCTGGATATTCCGAACAGATGATAGTGATCTCCGCGAGAATTGGGATGACTGTTTCACTTGATGACTCCGTAAAGGTTTGTGTTCACGTTGTGTAACATTGCCAAATGGACCATATCCGCAATGTAACGTAAGGCTAAATTTGGATTTTAAGTATCCCTGCAAAACATCTGGAGTTTTAAGTGATATATTTTGGTGTTGATGAGAGCTCTTTTGGAATGGGTCTTTGATGTAACACGTGTACCTCTAGACCTATACAAGTGTCAGGTGAGTGTGATTGCGCGACCTTCATTTCTCGAGATGACAAGCTACTCGAGTATTGCCCTTCCAAACATGAGCCTTCTCAATTGGGAAAAACCTACTTGTTCATGGTTTAAATGTAATCAGGGAATGTGAGTATCACATGTCGTTGTATGGTTCTGCAGGTGGACTAAAACTTCAATCGCTTTTGTAATTTTATGGCTCGGGCTGGCTTTTGCTCTTCTTGATTATGCAGAAATTTTTCTCAGGAGGAAACCAAAACCTCCAAGTAGACACTGCTTGACTGCGATGTAAGTTTGTGCTGTCCTGAGGCTCTAGAAAACATTTGTTTGAAAGTGAAAATAGGGTTCAGGAAAGATTCGTTGGATTATATCCAGGAAGTGAGATGCTAACATCTTCATGGTTTCATATCGATAATCGGTTAAACAGGTTTTTATGAAGCGATTGAGTAAACGTTTTGGATTTAAGGTATAAATTATGGGTTTATGCTGTGCTTAAATAAATGAAATTATCATTGAGCTTAACGCCACACTAGATAGGGAAGTCGCAGTTTGGTTACTTAATTATCGGGTGCCTTGAAAACTATTACTGAAGTTCCACTATTCATAATTGGTAACTTGAGGAGGTTGCAACTAGTAGAGTGAATCGAGCCTGTTATATACTTGATAAACCAACAAATAGTATATCGACAAAAGTAAAGCATTTTTGATGATGAAGGTATAGTAATTGGCAATTTTTTTTTTATCGGTTTTGCAATTAATACAATCCTCTCTAGATCTATCTTCAACAGCTCGTCATCTTATGCTGTTAAATTACTTGTCTTGGCCTCAAAGATGCGAAAGTGGCCATCAAAGAACGCAAAATTGGTATATGTTCTACGTTACTAGTGAAGAGAGCTTTGGAGATTGTTCAGGGTTATAGGAGAAGTTTTCCACATAAACTTGTAGGAGCTCATAGATGGTAACAGTTCACGTAAAATTTGCGAGTCAGCGGGTTTACTATAATTGATGTGTAACTTCATGTATTTATTTTAAATCGTTGACGATTTGCACAGTTTTGTTCCATTGTAGTATGTACTTTGAGCCAGTAATGCGTTGTAGTTAAACTGAGAGTCCTGCACTATTATTTAGCTAGGTCTGTTCATGTTTTTCCCATTGCAGTAGGGATTGAAGAGTGTTGGAAACAACGACAGTAAAACTAAACGTTCATATGGGATGGCAGACGCACAAAATGGTAAGGGCTTTTCGCAGTTGACTTCAGTTATTGGAAACATCAATAGTGTTGCAAATAGTAGCAGGAGGGGTCCCAGAGAAGCGGTTGATATTGGCCGGAACTGGAAACCTGTCAATTTTGGTGAGTACCAAGGTTTGGGCGAAATCTTGCCCATGCAGGCCTCTACTGTGGGTCCCGCTTCTTCTCCGCCCTCTTCGAAGCAGCAGACGGGCACTGATATATCAGTATCACCTCCTTTGGCGACTGCAGCTGTTGACAAACTCATGAAAGACGGTATTTTGCTTTTCTACTTCCTCAGTGTCTCCTATATGTTTGGAAATTGTGGTATGTTTTACAAGGATACTCAATGCGTAAGATTTGGGAATAGCAGGCAATGAAAGCGACTCTGATGTTAGGAGGGTTCCAGAGCTATCTGCGAAGACTAGTGGAGGGGTTTCTGGGTCGCATACACAAGATAAAGGTCTCACTGGATCTTCTCATCGGAAAAGAGGGGGAGCTTCTGCTGATAAAGAACACAAGCGTCTGAAGAGGTGTTCTTTATTTTTCTGACTTCATTTTTCTTTTCTTTTAATTTTTCTTTTTTCTCTAGTATTTGTCTGTTAAATTATCTGCAAGGCATACTCTTTGAGAATTATGGGAAATCTTGTGTTTACATCTATGAGTTGTAAAAATGGTTCCGTTGCTGTGCTCAGTGATGCGAGCTACTTTGCGTTTTGTAGAAAGAAACATTATTTTTTGGAGTTGATGTTCTGTCTGTTTAGTTTACATCTAATCAATTGTGTGCTTTTGTGTATGTGAACAGGCTGCTTAGGAACCGTGTTTCAGCTCAGCAAGCCAGAGAACGAAAAAAAGCATATCTCGGTGAATTGGAAGTTAGATCAAAGGAGTTGGAGCATCGAAATGCAGAATTAGAAGAAAGAGTGTCCACCCTACAAAGGGAGAACCAGATGTTGCGTCAAGTACGCGCTTCTGATTACTGGCTGCTCTGCGCTTAATTTATTGTAGTAGCAATACATGATAGATAAGAGTCCTTTTGCTATCGTTTGGTGGTTACTTCGCATGCTATCATGTTGAACTTAAGAAGTATTGTTGTGTATCCTGTTATTTGACCTATATACTGACCGGAACATGATTTAATATTTGTTGACCCTTTTTACTGTGGGTGGAGTGCAGATCGTCAAGAACACTGCTCTGAAGAAGACTTATAGTGGTGGTAACGCTGAGGATGGTGCGCAATGATGGAATATTCGAGAGATGTGTGGCCTACCGTTTTTTGTTATTCATAATCAACCATTTAGTATGTAATGCAGGAAGTTTTTATTTCAAGTATGCCCCGCTTCACATTAAGTTCAAAATAAGTTTGGTAATCGAAGGTCAGAATTCTCTCAGCGTTGTCCTTCATTCCATCAACTTCCGTTGTTTTATGGAATGACCGTTGGATGCTTTGTTGCTGTTACAATCGCAAGAACTATATTTCCATTGAAGTCATATTTTTGAAGCAATTCTCAATAACTGTATGAAGGCCATGGTTCATTATAACCAAGCGATTCTTGATAGCATAAGTCATTGTAGTTTTTCGCACAATGAACGCTAAAAAAGGACTGAGGTTGGGATATGTCTTCTATGTGTTTTAAACAATCTATAATAAGTACACGTTGTCACTGGTGTGAAACTGCCTGGTTAAGAATTAATTGCGTCTTTCCTTTGATGTGTCTCCTGAATGCTGGTAGCTTAGATTGTTTCTAGGTTGTACGAATAGAGATGCTATCTTAAATTGAGGTCTATGTGCTATTGCATTGCAACAAGCCTCATGGAATTTCCTTTAGAACACGAACCAGGAAATGCTTCACTCTTTTTGTTTTTTCTTTCAACTAAATTTATGACTTTATCCAAATAATCCGCACTTGGAGTTTTCATGGTTAAATGCGGATTATTCATTTGTAATTTGGTTACAAGGTTGATGTGTACATTTGTCACCGTTGCTTGGAACTTGCACCATGTAAGATATCCATAGGTTTGCTATTCTTACACTCAAACGATAAGGCCTTAAGACAATTGGAAGAAATGGGTTCATTTGGAAAAGAGCAAAGTTGATCAATGATGCAAATTTAAAGTTTGAAGGCTCCATCACTATTTGATACAAAATTGTAATAAACCTTATGAGTATGAACATTAATTTTAGATGAGATTTTTTACATATTACAATTTATTCTTCACCAATCATCTGTTTTTGTTTTTGTTTTTTTTGTTTGTTTGTTTGTTTGTTTGTTTTTTTTTTGTTTTATTGTTTTTTCTTTTTTTGTTATCAATCAAATACATTGAAAAATTCTTAATACTCAATTCTATTAATAGTTATTCTATTGGAATATGTATTTATTAGTCAATTTGATTTTTGACTTTTAGATGCTATTCATATATGTATATATCAACATGGGTTGTGATTAAATTTAAAGTTTTTAATACTTGTGATATTGTAAATATTATATTTTAAAAGTATTTTAATTCTTTAGATCTTGAATGAGATTTAAATGACAAATTTTGTTGTTACAAATTATATAAGATTAGAAATTGATTCAAAAACCTAATAGATTTATTTTAGTGATAAGAAAAATTACATTTAAAATCTAAATATAAAAATAAAATAAAATAAAACAAATCTTTTTCTTATAGTTGCTATAAGTTTAAATAAATCTAGGCTCAGGCTGCAAGCACACCCCAAGTTGCACAACATACATCCAAAGCGTCTGATTGACTCATCCAGGTCCTTTTCCCTACGCAAGTCCCTGTCCCCTTCCTTCTCTCCCTTGCACCAGCGCGGGTCCCGACTCCCTTCCCTCTCTTCCTTGCCCCGGCGCGGGTCCCCTCCTTCTCTCCCTTGCCCGGGCGCTGATCCCGGTCCCCCTTCCTCTCTTTCTTGCCGACAGCGAGTGGCGAATGTAGTCATGCTGCGATGCTGCAGCACAACCCACGCAGCTTGGTCTCTTCCTTGCGCTAATCCATATGAGACATCGACAGCCGCTTCAAGCCCACTTCGATCACGATTTCCATGGGTATAAAAAACTTGTACCCACTGTCTTAATCACAAATCTCACCAGCTGGAGGTCCCCTCTGACACCTTGAGCAGCAATGCATGCATCTGGGGAAAGCCATCACCAATTGTTGTGCGAACCAGGCGAAGGGAGCCCAATACCATTCACCCAACGCATGCGCCGTCAATGGATACTGCTGCGACCTAGGTCTATCAGCTGTCGGTAATACTGATTCATCTCTGCTGAAATGCTGTCCGATATTGAATCTGCATTGATTCCAACATCCCTATCTACAAGGTTTTGAGAAACCATGATAAAAATGTAGGCGTTCAGCTCCTGCATCTACACTAACAAAAACACGGTTCGGAAAAATTGATTGAGCTTGTGGATTCCAAGCTGCCTAGGCTGCTCTGCAGCATCACAGAGTGACTTCATTCGCCACTCGCCGTTGGCAAGGAAGAGAGGAAGGGGGACCGGGACAGGCGCCGGGGCAGGAGGACGGGACCAGCGCCACGGAAAAGGCAGAGGGACCCACGCCGGGGTAAGGACGCCGGAGCAAAGAAGAGAGGGAAGGGAGCCGGGACCCACGGAGTGAAGGAGAGAGATTGGGATCCACGTAGGAACAAGGAAAAAGAACCGGATGAGCCAATCAGGAGCTTTGGGTGTGTGTATAGCAATAATGGATGTGCGGAAAGCAACTTGGAGTATGCTTGTAGCCTGAGCCATAAATATAATGTGTTTATGTTAGACATTTCTTGTTTCAAAGTAGTTAACTAAGCATTTGTTATCATACAATTGTTATTAATCATCAATATTTATACTTGATAAGACAATAAACTTGAAGAATGTAATTCACTTTATATTCACTTTACATCATCTTATAGGCTGAAAAAATATATATATATATATATATATATATATAATCATATCTATTATCTAATTAAAAAACTACATATTGACCTTTTATAAGTCATCTTATATGTGTCCAACTGGTGAGACATATGTCTAGCTTATAAGGCAAGTTTCTCACATGTGCACCACATGCCAATTTGTATGATAAGTAATCAACTTATAAAGTAAGTGGTTAACATGTGTGATATGTGGCCAACTTGTTAACCAAGTTTTTTGTCCACCAATCATCTACAAACAATTAGGAAGTTAAATTTGTATCAATAAAGCTTATAAAAAACATATTTATAAGATATTATCAAATCTACTTTCATCTGTTTAATTCCTTTTATTTAAGTAAATACTATTATTAACATATATTGTTTGTGATATTATTTCTTCTTTTAGGAACAATTTTCATATATTGAAGAAGTTCAAATTGGAACAAATTGTATTCATTTTATATTCCAATCTTCTTTGTTGTTGATGGTGTCCTGATGTAATACGACTATATAGTAAAATTATAATCAAAATTGAATTTCTAATTAATATCTAATTATCTTAGTTTAATTATAATTTGAAGTGTCTAAACATGGCTTTTATAAAAGCCTCTTAGGTTATTTTCTTATCTTAATAGTTAATAAGTTGAAAGTTAGTTAGTAAATTTACCTTGTAGATTGTAGAGACTCTTCTACTACCTTAGAAAGACCATAAATTGATAAAATCAGATTATAAGAGGTAAATAATTACTATATTTGGTACTAAGATTAAGTTGAGAGTAGGATTGGGCTAAAAAATTCTTAGGATAGGTTAGATTGATACTCGGGGATTGGCCGTTTGTGAGACAGGGTCAAAATCAGACCTCTAGCCACAAAAACGACGGCCTAGGGCAAAATAGGGATTCATTTGAAGATTTGAGGATAGAATTTGAGAGCTAGCTTGAAGTTCTTTTCAAAGGCATAAGGATTGTTTTTGGAGGATTTTGGAGGACTTAGCAATTTTTGTTCAAAGTTTGGGTTTGTATTGGAGATTTGGGTTTTATATAATATAATTAGGGCTAGCAATTTTGGCTAATTCGTGCAATTGGTATAACATCTATGGTTGAAAATTTGATATTGTTTGGATTATTAGGTGGGCTAAGTGTATACAAAATTTTGTGATAATCTAACGGCATGGTTTAGAGATATCTAGTTTTTAGCACAAGAGGATTTTGGAAGTTGGCAGTTTGAGGTTGGGTAGGATTTCTATGATATCTAGAGATCTATCAATTGGATCAAGGTGAAATTTGACATGGTGTTGAAGGAATTGAAGATTAAGCTATACATCTATTTTGAGTCAAAGTTAATAGTTGGAAAGGGAGAAATCACTGCTGGGATTTTTACTTCACTTTTCAAGTTGACAATCGAGTGACATCAGTGCAATTTTTGGAGGTTTTTTTACAATTTATAAGTTGGATTGGGCTAAAACTTCTTGAGCATATAGAAGACTTACATTGACAATTGCATACAAAATTTTACATCAATTGGACAATCGGATTGGATGTTACAGCTTATTAAAGTTCACTGATTAGGATTGGAGCTTACAAGAAAAATCTAAATTGCTTAAATATGAAAGTAACAAGGTAATTGGGATTTATGTTTGGTTAAGGCTACTAAGAAGAGTTTTTTTAGTACTTTTTAATTGAACTTCAGATTATATTCTTCTCGTATGGATGAAATCTATTAGGATTTCTTAGATACTTGTGAAACACAACGTCACCTTCTACAACTAAGTGCCTGGTGCATTCTTGAGCAAGACAACATGTAATATGACATAAATGGTGAATCTGACGTGAAAGTTTGGGGTAGAAGGTATTGGATTATATTTGTGATTATTTAGAATTGATGGCGCAAGAAGGCAAGAAGGTTGAATTTGGACTTTTTGATGGAGCTTTGGATGGAGCTTCAAGTAGATCTTCAAGTGTAACTTCAAGTGGAATTTCTACTAGTGAACGAGGTATGTACTTTGATCTGAACACTGCAAAAATGTTTCAAGCATTTATATTATTTATGCAACAGCAATAGTGCAATGATCGCAAAGAGGTTGGCAACCAAAGCATTGCAAGCAAGGGTTAACAAGGTTGACCAATTTGATGGGAGGGATATTTCCAAATATTTAAGATGTTATGTGTGAGAAATAGAATTGAATCACGTTTTTAAGAAAGAGATGATTCAATTATTTGAACTTGCTATGGTATGAGAGATAAGAGAGTATATAAGATCTATTATGAGGTAATTTACAAGTTCATGGGAGATATTTTCACATGCGTTGAAGGATGAGTAGTTTTTGGAGGACACTGATCGAGTTACCAGAAAATCATTCTTGAAATGGATTGAACGACCTAACAAAAATTTGCAAGCTACAAAATTATTAAAAGAATTTAAAAGGTAATTTTTTCGATTATCAAAAATGGAAAAGTTAACATTGGGACCAAATAAGGTCCTGATGAACCTTGAATTGTTTCTTCAAGCTATTGATGAAGAATTACAAGAGAAGTTAGAGGTTCTTCTTGAAGATAAGGAAGAAGAGGAAGGATTGACAACAAAAAAGAGAGCTATTGAAGATCCTATTGGATTACTTGTCAAAAAAGAAAGAAGAAAGGATAAGTTTGGTACTCGAAGAGTAGTACAAGTATCAAAGTCTCTAATGCCTACTACACGATTGACTGTGCCTATTGTCAAACCTCC